TGTGCTTTTGATAGATAATTTTATCTTACTTATGTTATCTCTATTCATCAATAAAAAAGTCTCAATACATATGAATAGTGTTCCTATAAAAGAAAAAATAAAAATGTATACTCAAAAATCTCTTTTGGATATAGACTCATTAATATAATATTTCTAATTCCAAGTAAATAGAATATGTTATACACAATGTGAATAGTCTCCCACGCTGCCTATCCTTTTCATGCAATAAAATAAAAATAAAAACAATACTAATCTTGTTTCCTTGTGATTAACTATCTAACATATTATAGTGTATTCTTCTCACCATGTGTAATAAAAATCGTATGCATTCTGTTTAAGTACTCACATGAATAGATTCATCATATCAAATTTTATACAAACAAAAATATACTGTCCTTTGATAGATCATTATATCTATCTCTATTACTACAATTAAAAAAACGTTAACTATCCAATTTGAATAGTTATCCATAAAAAATAAAAATAAAAATATATACTGTCTTTGGATAGAGTGTCATTATTTTATATATAAAGACACTCCTACTATCGTTCACATATAAATACGTTTAAGTCATCTTAAGGTTATCATACATATTGAATAACGAGTTTGCCATAGATAACATAAACTAAATACAACAACTACACTATGCTATTCTTTCTGATAGATTCACTTATATTCCACACTATTATTCAATTAATAAAACCGTTAAGTTATCCAAACGAAATAGTTCATTACTCGGACATAATAAGATAAACAATGAAATCATAATATGCTCATTCTTGATATGTATCATATCTTTAATACTTTAATTCAATTAAAAGACTTTAATCATTATCCTGAAATAATGTGATTCTCATTAAAATTTAAAAAATAAAAAATTATAGGTCCATGTCTTTGATAGATTTCATTAATATATTTATTTACAATTAAATATATCGTTAAATAATCAATATGGAATTAAAAGTTCTCCACTGAATAAATGATATTCTTATTCTGTGTTAGTGAAATAATACGTTTTCCGATTATTGTTCGGTCTTGGTGATGATTAGCACTATCGGAATTCAGCCAAAGTTCATATATTCTTTATTAAAGATTGACTTTTATATTAATTGATTTCTTTCAGTGGCGATAATCGAGATCACTATTGAGAGTATTAAGCGCTATTGCCTCAGCCGCAGCGGAGGTGAGTATTAGCTTTTTGGGGGGTTCCTGTTGTTTTTTCTGCTGATTGTTTTCTGATCTATCTATTATCTATCTGTACTACACCTATCACTATTTTTGTACCATCCTGAAATATTCTCCCATTCTGTCGTTTGTTTCTCTCATACTCTCTGTCTTCTGTCGCTCTCTCCTCTTCTCATCTCTCTATCTCGTCGCTCTCTCTCCTTCTCTCCTCTCTTCTCTCTCCTCTTCTCTCTCTCTCTGCTCTTCTTCCGTCATCTAAACTCTCGTCTCTCCCTCCCTCTACCACCCTCTCCTCCCTCTCTCCCTCTCTCTGTTCTATCTATCAGATTTATCTCTATCTCTCTCATTTTACCTTCTAACTCACCCTCCCCAAACCCTTCGCCCCTTCCTACTCCTCTCTCTCATCTCTCCCTCCTCCTATCGCGTCGATTAATCCAGATCATATCCGTCATTACGAGCTGTCACATCAATATCCTGCAATCTAGAGCCGTGCTATCTAGAACAACGGAACTTGTAATAACCGATACATTTTTTATCATTACTTATTTATCATTGCTCGTTCTTTCAATTTCCTAAGAAATTTAACCAGATAGTCACCGACTTGCTTTACTTATCGTACAGCCTGTCATGCTGCGCCTCCCCGCAACCATCCTGTCCCAGATAGCATTCCGCTCTTCCTCTCACTCTATATCTCCGTCTCGCTCTTATTAAATGATCTCGGCTCTCTTCTCCTGCTGTCTGTCTGTCCTGTTTTTCTGTCTTGTCTTGTCGGTCTGTCGTCTGTCTCTCTCTGCTCTTCCCTTCATGCTCATTCGTCTTCTTCTCTTCTATGTGCTCCCCTCTCCCTTGTCTTCGTCGTTTCTCTCTCTCTTCTCCTTCTCGTAACTTTCTTACATCGTCTCCTCTATATCATCTATGCTTATCATCTCTCTCTGCCGCTCTGTGTCTCCCAAGTCATCAATACTTAACTCTCTCACTCGCCTACTACTGCTCTGTCGCTCTGACTGCCTCTCTCCTATCTCTCTTCTTCCTCGTCGCTCCGCCCATCTCATGCTCTGCTTTCGCTCTCACTATTCTATCTACTCCATTCTTCCGTTTCCATTTCTACCTTTCTTCTTCAATCTTCTCGATCCCTCTTCCGTTTCTTCCTCTGTAAGTGATCTTCTTCTTATTTATCTCCTTCGTCTATTCACTCTCTCATCCTCTTCTTCCTGTTCCTCATCCGTCTCTCCTTCAATCGTTTCTTATCTTTCTCTCTTTCACTCACCCTTTTTTTTCTCTCTGTCGTTCCGCCCTAATACACTCCAACTCATTATCCTACATTCCATTTCTTTTCCCTACCCCATCTCCTTCCTTATAAGTCCTTGTTCGTTTCTCGTCTTCTTATCTTTATATTTCCTGTTATTTTATCCTTTCTCTACCCCTTTCATTCTTACTTTTCTCGTCTTCCTCTCCCCTCTTCGTCCTCGTCATCCCTCGTCTGCTCTTTCCCCCTTCTTTCTCCCTATCCCGACGCCTCTCTTCTCGCCGACCTATCTCCTTTAATTACGTCTCCGTGCCTCTCACCTCCGCGTTTCCCACTTCCGTCCCTCTCCTCTACTCAGATTCCTGTCCTTTCTCTTCTCGTCTCCCTTCTTTTTCAACTCGCCTCCCCATTTCTCCTCTCTCTCCGAACTTCTCCTCCCTTCTCCCCCTTCCCTCACTTCTCTGCTCTTTCGCATATATCCCCTACTGACTCACCCTCTCCCCATCGATTCTCTATCATCTTTTCATCCCTCCCTTCTCCTTATCTTCCAGTCCACTTCTCTCCCATCTCTTATCCATCCAAAATCCCGCATCTTCTTCCCTCTCCTTTGCTTCTCTTTTTTCTCCTCTCTCTCCCTCCTATCTCCACTTTCTTCCCTTCTCTTTCTTAGTAACTTTTCACCCTCCCATATCCGCTCTCTCCCACTTTTCTCCCGTCTTTCTCACACTCTCTCCTCCTCCTCGATCCCTCTCCGCTCTCCACTTATTCACTCGTCCTCTTTCAACTTCCCCCCCCCTTCTCTCTTTCTCTCTTCTCTTTCTCATTTTCTCCTCTCATCTCTCTCCACTCTCTTCCTTGCCTCCTTTCACACTCCTCTCCCTCGTAGCTCTCCTCCTCCGACCAAGCCAACTGATACCAACCACTTCTTTCTTTTCAACTTCTATACAATTGTTCCCACCTTTCTTCCCTACTCCCTCGTTCCCTCCCTTTTCCCTCTATCAACTTCCTCGCTCTCTGTCTCTCTCTCCTCACTCCCTTCTCTTAATCCGCTCCTTGAACCTCGCTTCTCTCACCGCTTCTTCCAACCTCCTTCTCGCTCGTCATCTTACCGCCCCTCTCTTAATCACTCCTATCCTCCTTTCTATCTTCTCCACTTTCTCTTCTCTTCATTATTCAAATCCCTCCCTTCCTCTCTCTCTTCCCTCTGCTGTTCCCTTCACCATCTGCTCTCTCGTCCTTTTTTCTCATATACTCTTCTCTGTTCCTACTCCATGCCTTCTTTCCTCCATTCTATTATCTCCCACTGTTCTCCTCTCTCTCTTCTCAACTCTCCTCCCCTCTCCCTCCCCCCCCTCCTCCTCCTCCCACTCTTTCTTCTTCCCTCTCCCACTCTTCCCTCACCTCTCTCGTCCTCTACCTCACTTTCTCACGCTCTCCCAACCTCCCCCTTCCCTCCTCCCTAGACTTCTCCTCTCCCAATCTCCTTTCCCCTTCACTCTCTTCCTTTCTTCTCTCTCCCCTCTCCCCTTATCAAACTCCCTCTCCTCCCCACCACTTTCTCACCTTCTCTTACTTCCAACTCCCTTCCTCTCCCCTCTCCCAACTTTCTCCCTTACGTTTCGAACCCCCTACCCTCCTTCCCCTTTCTCTCTCCATCTCCCTTCTTTTACCATAATCCCCCTTCTCTCGTATCTCATTGTCTCCCACTTCTCCCTTTTTCAAATCCTTCCTCTCCTTCTTGGAAGTTTGTACTCCAACTCCTCATCCCTTCTACACCCTCGTTCCCACTCTGTCCTCTTCCCAACTCCTTATACCCACCCTCTTTCACCACTTTCTCCCTCATTCCAAACTCCCTCCCTCTCGCTCACGCCACTTCTCTGTCCCTCTTCCAACTCGCTCCTCTCCCTCCACCCTTTTTCCAAACTCTCCCCTCCCTACCACTTTCTCCTGCTTCCAACTCCTCCTCCTCCCCTCTCCCATTTCTCCCTCTTTCAACCCTCCCTCTCCCGCTCCCCCTTTTCTCCATCATGCCATCTCTCCTCACACATTCTCCCCTCTCGACCACTTTTCTCTCTCTCCCAACTCCCTTCCTCGTTCCCCCTGCCGTACCGTCCCATATCCTCACACTGTTCCTCGACGCCTTCTTGGTTCATCAACTTCCCTCCTGGCTCTCCTCTGTCTGATGATTCACATTTCTCTCCTCTGCGGCTCAAGCCTCGTCTGCTCTCACCCTCTTTCTTCCCCCCACTACATTCCGTCTCTATACTTCTCCGAACTCCTTGGTCCTCTCCTTCTCCTCTTCCTTCCTAGTCTCCCTCTGTTTTTCTAACCCTCCTCATCCATCTCCTTACCCTGCTCCCTCGTTTCCCATCTCCCTCAGCCTTCTCTTCTCCCCACTTTCTCCCCCTTACCATACTACCCTCCTCCCTCTCTATCAACTTCTCCCTCTTCCATCTCCCTCACTCTTCTCTCCTCTCGCCACTTTACTCCTCTCTCCATCCCTTCTCTCTCCGCGTATCCCATTTCTCAGCCTCTTACCACTCCCTCACTCTCTTCTCCTCTCCCACTTTCTCCTCTCCCGAACTCCCTCCTCTCCCCACCTCTCTTACCCACTTACCTCCCTTCAATTCCATCCTCTCCTTCACTCCAACTCTCCCTTTCATGTCTCCCCTTTTTTCTTTTTTTTTTTTAAATGCATAAAGAAACAATATTATTGTAGTGACTCCTTCCCTTCCTCTTTCCGTACCTCCCTCTCTACAACCTCCTCGTCCCCGCGCTCTTTCCCCTCCCTTTCCTCCTCTCCTCCCCTCCTCATCTCTCTGCTCTCTCCTTATCATTCTCATCGTCCCCTCCCCTTCCCCTCCCTTCTCCTCCTCCTTCGCCTCTGTCCTCTCCTCACATGTATCCCTGTATCAGCTCCCCGACTCCTCGCCCCCCTACTTCCTCTCCCTTATTCCTCCTACCTCCTCTCTCCTGCCTCCTCCTCCTCCTCCTCTCCTCCTCCTCCTCCTCTCTACTCTCTCTCTATTATTCTCATCGCCCCCTCCTCTTCCCATCCCTTTCCTCCCCTCCTCCTCCTCTCTCCCTGTATCACTCCTCGTCTCCCCCCTCCCCCCTCACCATACTAAGACGATACCCTCCTTTTCCTCCTCCTCCCTTCCTTGCCTTCCTCTTCCTCCTCCTCTTCCCTCTCCTATCTATCATCTCCTCGCCCCTCCCTTCCCTCTCTCTTCCTCCTGACCTCCTCCCTCTCCTCCTCCTCGGCTCCTCCTCTCTCCTCACCTCTCTTCCCCAACCCTCCTCGACTCACCCTCCCCTCTCCTCCTCCTCCCTCTACGCTCCACTCCTCCTCCTCCTCCTACTCTTTACCTCCTCCTCCTCAACCCTCCTCCTCCCACCCCACCTCCTCCTCCTCACTCTCTCACCTACTCTTCTTCCTCCTCTCCTCCTCGCTCCTCGCTTCTCCTCTCTTCCTCCCTCTTTCCTCCTCGTCCCCTCACACCTCGCCCCTCCCCCTCCCCCTCTCTCCCCCCTCTCTCCCTCCCTCTGCCTCACCTCTCCTAATCTTCCTCCTCACCCCTCTTCCCTCTCAGCTCCCCCCCCTCCTCCTCCTCCTCCTCCTCCCGCTCCTCCTCTCCTCGGTGCCCTTCACTCCTCCTGCTTCCCAGAGGTATATTTCGTCCCCCTCACAGCGCGGAGATTCCATAGAGCGGGAAAAGGGCTAAGGCGGCGCGCGGTCAGTCGCCAACGGACGCTTCCAGATTTTTCATTTTTTCCCGCGCTTTTTTTTCCCCGTTTTCTTTGTTCGGTCGACGGGCTCGCTTCTTCGCTTCTTTTCTCGATTTATTTCGTCGTTCTCTCTCTTCTTTTTTTTTTTACTTTATTTTCTTTGTCTGTTTCTTAGTTGTTTTTCTTTTCTTTTTGTTATCCTTTTTTAGGTCTTTTTTCTATTTATTTATGGTTTGGTGTTCTAAGATCGTATTTTATTCGCTCAATTCTTGTGCATTGTTCTGTCTGTCTGTCTGTCTGTTTATTTCTCTCTCTCTCTCTCTCTCTCTCCTCTCTCTCTCCTCTCTCTCTCTCTCTCTCTCTCTCTCTCTCTCTCTCTCTTCTCTCTCTCTCTCTCTCTCTCTCGTCTTCCTACCACTTCCTCTCATTACGCTTCCAATCCCTATCTTCCTTAATCACTTCCTTCCTTCTTAAACAGCGATCTTCCTTCATTCCGCCTCCTTCTTATCCACCGTTTTATTCGGTGGATAAGAAAAAAGAAAAAGAAAAATCACCATAATTCAATCCCTCAGAAAGATAAATGAATAATAGTGAATAAATGAAAATAACAAAATAAAAAAAACACAAGAAAGAAAGAGAAGCAGAATAATGTAAAAAAATAAAAAAATAAAAAAAACAAGAAAGAAGCAGAAAATAACGTAAAAAACACAACACAAGAAAGAAAAAGAAGCAGAAAAATAACGTAAAACAAAATAAAAAAATAAAAAACACAAGAAAGAAAAAAGAAGCAGAATAACATAGAATAAAAAAAAAACAAAGAAAAAAAAAAAGCAGATGATAAATAATGAAAAAAAAATCACAACCTTCGGGGTCATAAAAGAAAAAGGAGATTTAAGTTCTTTGGTTTCCAAGAAGTTGCTAACGGGGACCAAATGATGCGTTTTTCTTTTCTTTTCTTCTCTCTCTCTCTCTTTTGTTTTTTATTTTCATTTTTCTCTCGTGGACTTCGATAAGAAAGGAGAGATTGGCGTCGAGGTGTTGTTGTTTTTCTTAGTTCTTTGTTGGTTTCGTGTGAGGACTTTTTTTTTCTTTTCTGTTGTTGAATAAGTTATATTGCATTCGATGATAAAGATAATGCAGACTGGAAGAGGAATTCTCTCTTACTTTCTCTCTGTCTCTCTGTCTGTCTGTCTGTCTCTCTGTCTCTCTCTCTCTCTCTCTCTCTCTCTCTCTCTCTCTCTCTCTCTCTCTCTCTCTCTCTCTCTCTCTCTCTCTCTCTCTCTCTCTCTCTCTCTCTCTCTCTCTCTCTCTCTCTCTCTCTCTCTCTCTCTCTCTCTCTCTCTCTCCTCTCTCTCTCATTCCTTCTCCCTCTGCCTCTCCATCTCCATATCCCTCCCTCCTCTCCCTCCCTCCCCCTCCCCTCCTCCCTCCTTTTCCCCTCCTCCCTCTCCCTCCCTCCTTCCTCCCTCCCTGCCTCCCCTCTCCCTCCTCCTCCCTCCTCTCCTCTCCCTCCCCCTCCCCTCCCCTCCTCCTCTCTCTCTCTCTCAATTATCGACCCTATGTCCTTCCTTCAATTACCCTAACCCCGGACTTAACGCAATGGATAAAGTCTCCAATAAATTCCGTTGCTCTTCACTTTTCCTTGGTCTTCGTGTTATTCCCTTTTTATCCATTTTGCCCGTCGCTTTATGTTTTCTCCTTGTGTTATTCCCTCCTTTATCCATTTTGCCCATTCGTAGCTGTTTATTCTCCATTCCCTCCTTTATCCATTTGCCCATTCGTCGCTTTAGCTGTTTATCTCCTTGCCTCCTTTATCCATTTTGCCCATTCGTCGCTTTAGCTGTTTATCTCCTTGTGTTATTCCCTCCTTTATCCATTTTGCCCATTCGTCGCTTTAGCTGTTTATCTCTGTGTCTGTCTGTCTGTCGAATTAACTGTCTATTTATCTATTAATCTATCTATCAGTCAGTCTGTCTTTCGAAGTAGCTGTCTGTTTATCAGCTTATCTGACAGTCTGTCTGTCTGTAAGCCGAGCTAGCTGTCTATCTGTCTATCAACCTATCTGTAAGTCAGTCTGTTTGTCTGTCTAATTGTTAATCTATCTCTTTGTCTATCTATCTACCTACCTACCTATCTATCTATCTAGATAATATCTACTAATCTATCTATCTACTATATCTATCTAATCTATCTATCTATCTATCTATCTATCTATCTATCTATCTATCTATCTATCTATCTATATATATATATATATATATATATATATATATATATATATATATATATATATATGTATTTATTTCGAGCATATATGAATCGCTCATTCCATTCATGTATTAATGTATTTACTTACCCATCTATCTACACATCTATCTATATACCTAGTTATCTACTGATTGATTTACTATCTATCCACGTATACCTTCGCCTATCCATTCAATTTATCAAAATATTGCCATTACCAATTATTAGTTTATTATCTATTTATCTTCACGTTCACCTATCCATTCATTTATCCATCTACCAGTTATCAGTTTATTGATTTATTATCTATTCATCTATACGTTCACCTATCCATATATTAATCAATATACCAATTATCATTATCAATTACCAGTTACTGAGTATCTATTTATTCAGTTTATCAACATACCATTCATCCATTTATCATTATATACCAATTATTCAATTTATCAGCATACCAGTCATTATCCATTTATCACTATACCAATCATCAATTCATCAGTATACCAATTTAATTTGTCAACTTACCAGTCATTATCCATTTATCACTACGCCAATCATTCCTTTATCACCATCCAATCATTCATTTATCAACATCCCAATCATTCATTTATCAACATCCCAATCATTTCATTTATCACATCCCAATCATTCATTTATCACCATCCCAATCATTCATTTTCATCACTATATACCAATCATTCATTCATACAATCATTCATTCATCACCACCCCAATCATCCCCAATCTTCAGTCTATTAATTTCTGTCCCTCGCCCCCCCCCGCCCCCCTCTCGCCCTCAGACGGCTGTGGTGAGGTGAGCCCCAGAGCCGAGGTCGTCTGCTACTTCGAGGGTGACCTGACGGCGAAGGATGTTGACCCCTGCAAGTGCACAATCCTCGTGGCCTCCGACGTGACCCTCGATCATGACCTGAAACTCACTTCCGATGTCGGTGAGTCTTTTTCTTTTTTTTTTTTTTTTTTTTTTTTTTTAGGAAGAAGAGGAAGTAGGAGAAGATAATGGTGATGATGAAGTAGAGGAAGACGAAAAGAGGAAGTAGCAGAAGATGATGATTATGATGATGATGAAGTAGAGGAAGACGAAAAGCTATAGAAAGGGAGGACGGAAAAGAAATTCAACAGAAAGAAGACTAGAAGAATAAAACAGATGGAGAAGGAAGAAGGAAGATAAAAAAGAGAGAGAAAAAAAAAAGATGAAGCATAAATAAATCAGCCTCATAACGGCCAAGAGAAGAGCTGACGTCAGCCTCTTGACCGGAAATGAGAAATCCGAACGCGCCAAGTTCTTCAATCCCCCCCCCCCCGGTCTTGTGGGGGGGGGGGGGTCGCGGCAGAAGAACAAACAGATCCCAAGAGCTTCCAAGTGCAATCTCTTATCTAAGAACATCCCCGGAGAAACATGTTCTTTATTGATAAATTACCTAATTGAGAACGGACGTGATGATAAATGATAAGATATGAATAAAAGCAATTTGAGAATAAGCATTTAGTAAAGGTAATGAATGGAATATGGACCAAAAGCTAAATTTAAATCAACTTACAAAGAAACAAGTAGAAGTTGTAAATAAATAGTTGTAAAAATCTCTTGTTTTGTGAAAATAGTCATTCTCATTCATGTTTTTTTTTCCTCTTAATTCACCTGCAATGAATACCGTTTCTTTACGACACGACATGACATGACACCTCGAAAATATTCATTCTCATTCATGTTTTTTTTTCTTTTCTTTCTTTTTATTGTCCGTTCTTTACGACGCCACGACATGACATCTCGAAAAATATTCATTCTCATTCATGTTTTTTTTTTTCTCTCTTTTTCTTTGTTATTGCAATGAATACCGTTCTTTACGACGCCACGACATGACATCTCTCGAAAATATTCATTCTCATTCATGTTTTTTCTTTTTCTTTGTTATTGCAATGAATACCGTTCTTTACGACGCCACGACATGACATCTCGAAATTCATTCTCATTCATGTTTTTTTTTCTTTTTCTTTGTTATTGCAATGAATACCGTTCTTTACTACGCCACGACATGACATCTCGAAAATATTCAATCTCATTCACGTTTTTTTTTTTTCTCTCTCTCTTTCTTTGTTATTGCAATGAATACGGTTCTTTACTACGCCACGACATGACATCTCGAAAATATTCATTCCATTCATGTTTATTTCTTTTTTCTTTGTTATTGCAATGAATACGTTCTTTACGACGCCACGACATGACACCTCGAAAATATTCATTCTCATTCATGTTTTTTTCTTTTTCTTTGTTATTGCAATGAAATACCGTTCTTTACTACGCCGACATGACATCTCGAAAATATTCATTCTCATTCATGTTTTTTTTTCTCTTTCTTTTTTATTGCAATGAATACCGTTCTTTACTACGCCACGACATGACATCTCTTACCCAACCAACACTCTAAGGAAGAAACGCCACGGCCCTCTCTACACAACACGGCGACATCAACGCCCAATCCTCCAATCCTCCGCTAACAATTCCAAATCCACTGCCAAACCAGCTGCACCAGGTGCCTGCACCAGCACCAACCAATCCTCGCCTGCACCAAAATCCTCCACTAACAATTCCAAATCCACTGCCTGCACCAGGTCTACCCAATCCTCCACTAACAATTCCAAATCCGCTGCCTGCACCAGCTCCACCCAATCCTCACTAACAATTCCAAATCCACTGCCTGCACCAGGTCTACCCAATCCTCCGACCAAGCCTGCACCAACCCAATCCTGCCTGCACCAGCGGCCTGCACCAGCAGCTTGCCTGCTGCCTGCACCAGAGCTGCCTGTCCACAATCCTCCACTACAATTCCAAGCCTGCACCAGCTCCACCCAATGCGACCAGTAACCCAAAGCCGCTGCCTGCACCAGCTCCACCCAATCCTCTAACAATTCCAAACCAGCTCCACCCAATCCTCCTAACAATTCCAAGCCGCTGCCTGCACCAGCTCCACCCAATCCTCCGCCTGCACCCAGCTCCACCCAATCCTCCACTAACAATTCCAAATCCGCTGCCTGCACCAGCTCCACCCAATCCTCCGCTAACAATTCCAAAGCCGCTGCCTGCACCAGCTCCTACAGGAAGACTTACCGAGGCGCAGGAGGAGCCAAGAGGCAAATAGCGCGAGAAGGCGTGAGTCAAGTCAAGAGGACTCGAGACGCCGCCGCCGCTCCTTCAAGACAGCGACCTCCATCTCCTCCTCGAAGCCACACCGGAGAGAGAGATTTTTCCCGAGGTCTCCTCTGGACGTCGATAATGGAGAGGGGGGGGGGGAGGGGGGGGGGTAGATGATGATCCTGTAGGGTATTTTAGGTGAAAGATTCTTTGGCCTCGATCGTCGATCTTAATGGCGGAGGGTTAATAAGAGACCTCTTGTACTATTATATATATATATATATATATATGTAGGCCTATGCGAAATGCCTATTACATGTCTCCTCTGGACGTCGATAATGGGAGGGGAGGGGGGAGGGTAGATGATGATCTTGTAGGGTATTTTAGGTGAAAGATTCTTCGGCCTCGATCGTCGATCTTAATGGCGGAGGATTAATAAGAGACCTCTTGTATAATCTTTTTTTAATGATGTAGGCCTATGCGAAATGCCTATTACATGTCTCCTCTGGACGTCGATAATGGGGGGGGGGGGGGTGATGATGATCCTGTAGGGTATTTTAGGTGAAAGATTCTTCGGCCTCGATCGTCGATCTTAATGGCGGAGGATTAATAAGAGATCTCTTGTATAATTTCTTTTTTTTATATAATCTTTTTTTAATGATGTAGGCCTATGCGAAATGCCTATTTAATTGATCCTGCAGAAGTTTCAAGGGAAAGACTCTTGTGCTAGGCCTCGGAAGTTGATCTGAGTGGAGGTGGAGTATCAAAAAGCCTTTGTGTAATCGCGTTCTTATTAAGGTTGGCCAGCGTCAAAATGCCTCTTGAAAGACAAATATTTTCGGAGCATTTTTTTATTTTCTTTACATTCTCGTTCTTGATTTATTTACTCACTCATTCATCTATATATTTATATATCTTTTTACTTATTTATTCATCATTTATTTTATTCATCATTTCATCAATTCATATGTACATTTATGTATTTATCTATTTATTCATCCATGTATTCATTCATTTATTTGCTAAGTTATTTATCAAATTATCTATCAGCTGTTCACTGAATTATCTATCTAATTACCTATTCGTTTATGTGCTGAATTATTAATCGTTATCTATCACCTGTTCACTGAACTATCTATCTAATTACCTATTCGTTTATTCGCTGAGTTATTCTTCAATTTATCTATCACCTGTTCACTGAACTATCTATCTAATTACCTATTCGTTTATTCGCTGAGTTATTCTTCAATTTATCTATCACCTGTTCACTGAATTATCTATCTAATTACCCATCCAGTTCCCTATTCGTTTATTTGCTTTATTCATGAAGTTATCTATCAGCTGTTCACTGAATTATCTATCTAATTACTTATTCGTTTATTTGCTGAGTTATTCATCAAGTTATCTATCCTTTGTTCACTGAACTATCTAATTACTTATTCGTTTATTTGCTGAGTTATTCATCAATTTCACTGAATTACCCACCCACTTCCCTATCCGCTCACCCCATTCCTTCCCCCGACCAGACTTCACCAAGCTCAAGGCGCTGAAGGCGAGGAACCCCAAGCTCCGGCTGGTGGCTTCCATCGGCGGCGAAAACGTCAAGACAGAAACGTTCTCTCTGGTGACGTCTTCGGTGGAGGGCGTGGCCAACTTCACGGAGGGCGTGGTTGCCTTCGTCACTGCTAACGGGCTGGATGGGCTTGAGGTAGACTGGAGGTGGCCGGGGCAAAATGGCGGCAGCAAGGATAAGGATGACGTCACCACGCTCATGAAGGTACGGGCTGCGGGCGTGATGGTGATGATGATGATGATGATGATGATGATGATGATGGTGATGAGGAGGAGGAGGAGGAGGAGGAGGAGGAGGTACTGGTGGTGGGGATGACGTAGATGTTGATAATATCAATATCAATGGTATTTATAGAAGCAAATAATAAGGGTGGAAATGGATTTACGAATATATCGTTTTTGTAACCCGTATGAATGAAACTATCAGGAGCAAACCAATCGTTTTCAATGAATCAATCACACAGCACTTCCCGAAGCCTCCCTCTTGCGCCGCCTAACCCCCCCCCCCCCCTCTGCCTTCACAGGTCGTTCGCCTCGCCCTGGACCAGAAGGTGCACAGCGTGAGCCGAAGGACAGCGACTGAAGCCCTTGCCGAAGACACGACGGAAGCCGAGGACGCAACGGAGGCGCCACAGGACGTAACGGAAGCCGAGAGCGCTACCGAGGCCTCCACCGACGTCCCAACGACCAGTGCGCCCGAACAGGAGGACGAGAGGTAAGGGCCCCCGGCTCTGGGTCTGGCTCGTTGAGAGATCGTTCTTTTTATTGCATTGTTTGTTTTTTCAAGTCGATGAGCGGTCATCTCGCCATGGCCTAGTCATTTAGACCGATCATCTCCCTGATTGATTTGTGTTCATTTCAGTTCCATTTTGCTCTGAACCTAATTCTTTACTTTAGTGTAGTTTCCCCCAGCTGTGTTTGCTGCTCGGGGTTTCAGCTCGGCTTAAGCTAGTCCCACAGACCTCCGCTTTTGTTTCTGGCGGTTTTTGAAGCCTTGCAAAGTGCAGTAAATAACCCTCCAGTTCGTTTTGCAGCCTCGGGTCAGACTACCTGGTCCTCGAATCAGGTTCCGAGTACGAGGTGACCCTCCGGCCCGAGATAGAGGTAAGACTCGAAGACACAGGACACACGATCAAGGAGAAGAAAGAGGACAGTCATGGAAAAAAACAAGAAAAGACAGCAACTCGACCTTACCGTGGAAGCGTTAAGTTCACCGTGAGTTCTATGCACAGCGTAGCGTTAAGTTCACCTAAAACTTAATCTAAACCTAAGTCACGAAGTCTCATCCTGTCCACCCCCACGGATGCACTAATCTGGATGTTTGTAAAGGCATCTCGTAGTCTCTCCGTAGATGTCTGCCTCCTGTAGAAGCACGACGTTGTACACTTTTTGCCAATAACTTTCCTCCTCCTTCTGTTTGACTTATTTTGAGACTGAAAGGAGCGAGTTTCTCGTAATTCCTACAGGATATGAACAGCTATTAAAGAATACTTCCTTCAGTGAATGGCACTGAGCTATACTTAAATCAGATCCACATAGCCATCTAGGAGTTACGAGTATCCGCTGCATCCTTAATGAACGTTACTAATACTACTTCGTTCTCTTCTAACATGAAAAAATATACAATACCCTGTAGACAAATACTTCAAATCCTATTCACCATGACTAGTTTTAAGAATCCTTCCACCTTCCAGGATTACTTCAAGCTCTCAGGCGTCCTCACCACCACGGAGACGCCCTCGACGACCCCCTCCTCCGGATGGAAGATCGCCAAGTCTTCTCAAGCGTCCGAGAGGAAGGCGAAGCAGGAAGTGGAGAAGGAGAGAGGAGCCATCCTTATGATGACCGTGTCTCCCCATCCCGAATACCTCGTTAAGGGATACGACCTCAAAGCCCTCACTAAGTAGGCTTTTCTCTCTCGTGGGTTTTTTTTTGAGAACAAAAACAAAGCAACCTTTTGGGACTTTCTTGATAAATGGCTGACGTTTCCTCCCTCTTCCGTCCTAGGATTGTGGACTTCTTCAGCCTTCCCACCCACAACCTGACAGAAGACCGCCCCGATGCAGCCGCCGAAACCTTCCACCACAGCCGTCTCATGGGCGTTTCTGATCTCGAAAATGCGGTAAAACTGACGACCTGGTTTTGTTCTTATTTCGTATACTTGATGCAGTTCATGTATTTCCATTATTCTCAGCATCCTTTGTATGGCTTTATATATATATATCAATTCCTCATTATCTTTAAATTGATAAGTATACAACCATAGTCACTCACAAAAACTAGAGCTGCACAATTGCCATATCCCTACTGATAGATCTCCCCATTGCAGGATTCCCTCGTGGATTTAGTGGTGTCTCTCGGAGTGCCACTCGACCACCTGATCCTCGGACTGCCAGCCACTGCCGCTGTGTTTACCCTGAAGGACGAAGAGCTGAACACCCCCCGCTCCCCGGCCGCTGGAACCGCCAGCTTCATTCCTTACAGAGAGGTACGAGATTCTGCGGTCTGGCTTCCTATGTTTCAGTGTTTGTGTAATGATTACCATAATAAGGATAATAATGATAACGATTATGATATTAACAAAAGAAAGCAATCATCCCCGCCGCATTTCCAACACGAGGCCCATGAGGACAGACTCCTAAATCCGAACTTGATGCTTTCCAGGCATGCATGATGATGGAGTCCGGGAACTGGACAGTGGAGCGCGACGAGGACCTGACCGGACCCTACGCCTTCCTGAACGCAACGTGGCTGGCCTTCGACGACCCTACCAGCGCCAAGATCAAGGTGGGACAGCTTGAGACAACTTGAGACGGACTCACGTGAAGCAAGACGCTGAAACCTTGACAGTATACGAGACAAGAGAAGAAACCTCCGGACTATATTACGTCGGAAGTACGAATAGTAGATGATGAAAATCACGAATGCAGACCAAAGGAAGGGTTTTTGATGGAAGACACGTTACTCGCAAGAGACATCCGAAGCGTGAATAGCAATTATCCAATGATTTCAGGTTAAACGACCAAAGTCATTATGGTATACATAATGCCATGTGGCAGATGACAACCGCTGAGTATGGAGATGTTAAAACCCTTTATAAATGCACCAATGAAAGGTGTCTCAAGAAATAAACCTCACAAGATTGTGATGATGTTAATATGAGAATGAAATCTTATGGTAAGTGCAACCACTATCACGGCTTGGAGTCAAGAGAGCTGTTCATCCATTTCCCAACAGGGTTGGAATTTATCGATTACTACAAACTTCTCCTTTCCATGTGTTAACAGATACACCTTCAGGAAATATACTAATATATTACCTACTACAATGTCTCCTAGTCTCAAACCTATGCATTATCTAATGCTTGATACTGATCTGACATTACATCATTCCGGTACAATGGGCATGTACACTACCTATAGGTATAGATGTACCTCATTTGTCGACTCCTTAGACTTCTTTGGACTACTTTCAGGACTTTATTAACCAATACAACTTACTTTTTATTTATAACTGAAATGATCACATAACATATGCGAGAGAAAAATATCAAATAGTTCATGCTTAAGCAAAATACAGCATGGTTATGATATCACGTCTTGGAATTCCCCTGTAGAGCAAGTATGTGCTGCTTCGAGGACTGGCTGGTGCGGCTCTGCATAATTTAGATGGCGAAGACTGGGATGACCAATGCAACCAAGGCAAATACCCTGTCCTGTCAGCAATACACGACACCTTTACGCAGGTCTGCAGAGTTCTCCTTACCCTCTGGTTTTACTTGTAAAAACTAATCCATGTCTATTATATATTTTATTGTTATTTCACCTGGCTAAAGTCAACTGACTTTTCCTGCTTTATTCAGCTTGCCCGAACACCTCGACGTGCAGTTCTGCAAAGCCTTGTTGATGATCTGGAGACTGAGGAGTCCTCCTTCCGGCCAATATCTGTTGCTTCCCCAACTGATCTTCGAAATTCACCCTTCAGAATAGTTCGCATTGTTGATCGAACTGGAGCTATTAAGGCAATCCGGTACATATACTTCATGCTGTCCTTATATGTGTATATATATTATAATAAATAAATAAATATACATATATATATATATATATATATATATATATATATATATATATATATATAGAGAGAGAGAGAGAGAGAGAGAGAGAGAGGATGTGTATATATATATTGTATGTATATATAATCATAATGACAATAATTCATATTCTGCAATGAAATTACAATTCATTTTTAAGTAAATCTTTATGCAATCACTAATTTAATTATCTATTTCAGAGCAAGTTCTGAGTCAAGGTTCGAGTGCTCCCGCCAAGGCTATTACCGAGACCCTGCTGACTGTTCCCAATTTTATCGCTGTGTAAAGTTCAACCAATACGTGGATGACTTCACTGTCTTTGAATATTCATGCCCTTCTGGACTTGTATTCGATGATCGTTGGGAGATCTGCGCATGGCCCTCTGCAGCTCCTCCATGTGATGGTTCCTCAGAAATTTTCCCTGTCCCTCGTAGAAAGTTTTCCTGCCCTGGAGAAGGATATTTCACTGATCCAGAGAACTGTCGCTGGTTCTTTGCTTGCAGAGATTACTATGGGAATGGAACATACACTCAGTATGAGTTTAGGTGTCCATTTGGACTTGCTTATGATGAGGCTAATGGACTGTGCAACTGGCCCTGGCTTGTGGAAGGTTGTGGACATACTGGGCCAATCCCTGATGGATATGGTGGTGTGAGTAGTGGCGCAGTCCCAGTTAGTGTGGCTTCCATTGCTGGAGGTGGATTCAGCCAAGGCAAAGCAGTATTTGGAGATGGGTCTGCTTCTCAGGATCTGTATGGTGGAAGCAGTGAAAGTTGTGAAGACTGTGGTTCCACTGAACTGGCTATTGGTGGCCAAGGAGTCTACAATGCTAACCGTGGCCTTATTGTTGGTGCAGATCAGAGCAATGAACGTCTTTCATATGGTACCTTCAAAAATACTGGAATCCCAACCATCCCTGGTACTGGCTTTAGTGGACATGGCAGTGGCAGGCAAGGAAACAATATTGGTTCTGCTGCTTTTGGTTCTTCATCAAATAGGAGGCCAAGCAAAACACAAGGAGGAAGGAGAAAGTCCTCTCGCGGTCAGAATGGTCAGGGATACAACTACCAGGAACCTGACAATGCTTTCAATCCTGCTGAGGTTTCAGGTGGCTATGCTGCTCCAAATTCAGGCTCTAGGGGAAGACCATCATCCAGACCTTCCTCTTCCTACAAAACTCCAAGTGCAACAACTCGTACACCAACAACCACCTACCGACCTGTCACTTCTGCCCCTGCAACAACACCTTCCTCTGGATATTCATATCCTGAACCAGCTAATCCTTTCACCTCAGGAACCTCCATCCAAGTCTCAAAGCCTTCACCAGTAACTTCTGCTCCAATCAGGTCAAGCACAAGAGGACATGGTTCATCAGGAAGCACTAGTGGATCAAGAAAGACAAGTGGCAGTGGAGTAGGACATTTTACTATTCCTGGTAGTTCATCTGGTAGCAGACATGGCTCCGGAAGTAGTGCATCAGGAGGTTCCAGGGGATCAGGAAGACCTGGATCATCAAGAGGATCAAGTGGATCATACTCAGCTCCTGCAAAACCTTTCGTAACTGGCTCCTCTGCAGGATCTGCTGACTCATCTGAGGAAGAAGGTGGATCTGGAAGCCGTGGTACTTCCAGTGGTTCAAGCCACTTTGGAGGATCAGGTTCTGGAAACCGTGGTAGTTCAACTGGTTCAAGTCATTTCGGAGGATCAGGATCTGGAAGCCGTGGCAGTTCCAGTGGTTCAAGTCACTTTGGAGGATCAGGTTCTGGAAGCCGTGGTAGTTCCAGTGGTTCAAGTCACTTTGGAGGATCAGGTTCTGGAAGCCGTGGCAGTTCCAGTGGTTCAAGCCACTTTGGAGGATCAGGATCTGGAAGCGGAGGCAGTTCCAGTGGTTCAAGCCACTTTGGAGGATCAAGATCCGGAAGCCGTGGCAGTTCCAGTGGTTCAGGCCACTTTGGAGGATCAGTTTCTGGAAATGGTGGCAGTTCCAGCAGTTCTAGTGGATCATCTGGTGGCTATTCATACTCTGCACCCGCAAAGCCTTTCATAACTGGCTCCTCTGCAGGATCTGCTGGTTCATCTGAGGAAGATGGTGGATCCGGAAGCCGTGGCAGTTCCAGTGGTTCAAGTCACTTTGGAGGATCAGGATCTGGAAGCCGTGGTAGTTCCAGTGGTTCAAGCCACTTTGGAGGATCAGGATCTGGAAGCCGTGGCAGTTCCAGTGGTTCAAGCCACTTTGGAGGATCAGGGTCTGGAAGCCGTGGCAGTTCCAGTGGTTCAGGCCACTTTGGAGGATCAGGTTCTGGAAGCAGTGGCAGTTCCAGCAGTTCTAGTGGATCATCTGGTGGCTATTCATACTCTGCACCCGCAAAGCCTTTCATAACTGGCTCCTCTGCAGGATCTGCTGGCTCATCTGAGGAAGATGGTGGATCTGGATTCTTTGGAGGTTCTGGCAGTTCCAGTGGATCAAGTCATTTTGGAGGATCAGGATCTGGAAGCCGTGGCGGTTCCAGTGGTTCAGGCCACTTTGGAGGATCAGGTTCTGGAAGCAGTGGCAGTTCCAGTGGTTCAAGTCACTTTGGAGGATCAGGATCCGGAAGCCGTGGGGGAGTGGTTCAGGCCACTTTGGAGGATCAGGATCTGGAAGCAGTGGTAGTTCCAGTGGTTCAAGTCACTTTGGAGGATCAGGATCCGGAAGCCGTGGCGGTTCCAGTGGTTCAGGCCACTTTGGAGGATCAGGTTCTGGAAGCAGTGGCAGTTCCAGTGGTTCAAGTCACTTTGGAGGATCAGGATCCGGAAGCCGTGGCGGTTCCAGTGGTTCAGGCCACTTTGGAGGATCAGGTTCTGGAAGCAGTGGCAGTTCCAGTGGTTCAAGTCACTTTGGAGGATCAGGATCCGGAAGCCGTGGCGGTTCCAGTGGTTCAGGCCACTTTGGAGGATCAGGATCTGGAAGCAGTGGCAGTTCCAGTGGTTCAAGTCACTTTGGAGGATCAGGATCCGGAAGCCGTGGCGGTTCCAGTGGTTCAGGCCACTTTGGAGGATCAGGTTCTGGAAGCAGTGGCAGTTCCAGTGGTTCAAGTCACTTTGGAGGATCAGGATCTGGAAGCCGTGGCGGTTCCAGTGGTTCAGGCCACTTTGGAGGATCAGGTTCTGGAAGCAGTGGCAGTTCCAGTGGTTCAAGTCACTTTGGAGGATCAGGATCTGGAAGGCGGTTCCAGCAGTTCTAGTGGATCATCTGGTGGCTATTCATACTCTGCACCCGCAAAGCCTTTCATAACTGGCTCCTCTGCAGGATCTGCTGACTCATCTGAGGAAGATGGTGGATCCGGAAGCCGTGGTAGTTCCAGTGGTTCAAGTCACTTCGGAGGATCAGGATCAGGATCTGGAAGCCGTGGCAGTTCCAGTGGTTCAAGTCATTTTGGAGGATCAGGATCAGGATCTGGAAGCCGTGGCAGTTCCAGTGGTTCAAGTCACTTTGGAGGATCAGGATCAGGATCCGGAAGCCGTGGCAGTTCCAGTGGTTCAAGTCACTTTGGAGGATCAGGATCTGGAAGCCGTCAGTTCCAGTGGTTCAAGTCACTTTGGAGGATCAGGATCCGGAAGCCGTGGCAGTTCCAGTGGTTCAAGTCACTTTGGAGGATCAGGATCTGGAAGCCGTGGCGGTTCCAGTGGTTCAGGCCACTTTGGAGGATCAGGATCTGGAAGCAGTGGCAGTTCCAGTGGTTCAAGTCACTTTGGAGGATCAGGATCCGGAAGCCGTGGCGGTTCCAGTGGTTCAGGCCACTTTGGAGGATCAGGATCTGGAAGCAGTGGCAGTTCCAGCAGTTCTAGTGGATCATCTGGTGGCTATTCATACTCTGCACCCGCAAAACCTTTCATAACTGGCTCCTCTGCAGGATCTGCTGGTTCATCTGAGGAAGATGGTGGATCTGGAAGCCGTGGTAGTTCCAGTGGTTCAAGTCACTTTGGAGGATCAGGATCCGGAAGCCGTGGCGGTTCCAGTGGTTCAAGTCACTTTGGAGGATCAGGATCCGGAAGCCGTGGCGGTTCCAGTGGTTCAGGCCACTTTGGAGGATCAGGTTCTGGAAGCAGTGGCAGTTCCAGTGGTTCAAGTCACTTTGGAGGATCAGGATCCGGAAGCCGTGGCGGTTCCAGTGGTTCAGCCACTTTGGAGGATCAGGTTCTGGAAGCAGTGGCAGTTCCAGTGGTTCAAGTCACTTTGGAGGATCAGGATCCGGAAGCCGTGGCGGTTCCAGTGGTTCAGGCCACTTTGGAGGATCAGGTTCTGGAAGCAGTGGCAGTTCCAGCAGTTCTAGTGGATCATCTGGTGGCTATTCATACTCTGCACCCGCAAAGCCTTTCATAACTGGCTCCTCTGCAGGATCTGCTGGTTCATCTGAGGAAGATGGTGGATCTGGAAGCCGTAGCAGTTCCAGTGGTTCAAGTCACTTTGGAGGATCAGGATCTGGAAGCCGTGGTAGTTCCAGTGGTTCAAGTCACTTTGGAGGATCAGGTTCTGGAAGCCGTGGCAGTTCCAGTGGTTCAAGTCATTTCGGAGGATCATCAGGATCTGGAAGTGGTGGCAGTTCCAGCAGTTCTAGTGGATCATCTGGTGGCTATTCATACTCTGCACCCGCGACACCTTTCATAACTGGCTCTTCTGCAGGATCTGCTGGCTCATCTGAGGAAGATGGTGGATCCGGAAGCCGTGGTAGTTCCAGTGGTTCAAGTCACTTTGGAGGATCAGGATCTGGAAGCCGTGGTAGTTCCAGTGGTTCAAGTCACTTTGGAGGATCAGGATCAGGATCTGGAAGTCGTGGCAGTTCCAGTGGTTCAAGTCACTTTGGAGGATCAGGATCAGGATCTGGAAGTCGTGGCAGTTCCAGTGGTTCAAGTCACTTTGGAGGATCAGGTTCTGGAAGCCGTGGCAGTTCCAGTGGTTCAGGCCACTTTGGAGGATCAGGATCTGGAAGCCGTGGCAGTTCCAGTGGTTCAAGTCACTTTGGAGGATCAGGTTCTGGAAGTGGTGGCAGTTCCAGTGGTTCAGGCCACTTTGGAGGATCAGGATCTGGAAGCAGTGGCAGTTCCAGCAGTTCTAGTGGATCATCTGGTGGCTATTCATACTCTGCACCCGCAAAACCTTTCATAACTGGCTCCTCAGCAGGATCTGCTGGTTCATCTGAGGAAGATGGTGGATCCGGAAAGCCGTGGCAGTTTCCAGTGCGTTCAAGTTCACTTTGGAGGATCAGGATTCAGGATCCGGAAAGCCGTGACAGTTC